GGTGGTGGTGAGTCGGTGGCCGCGAAGCGGCCACCTCCTCCCCACCACCTCCCCCGCCCACCATCCCCTCGCCGGTGCTCGCCCTCGGGCCTCGCTTCGCTCGCTGGCGCGCCTTCGGCGCGCTCACAAATTCCTCCGCACAAACTCAATCCCCTGCTTCTTCCCAAACTCCCACAGATTCTGGATTCCCTGCTCGCTGAGATCAATATTCTTCATATTCGGGGCGTCTTGCGCTGGCGCTTTCGACACTCTAGAAGCGACCATGACGGGATCGGTTTCGAGGATGATGCCGTCGTCTACGATTTCGTCGATTGTGAGGGAGAGGAGGTCGTAATTTTCTAGGAGGGTGCGTTTGTCTGTTGAATTTCTGCGCAGCGAGAGTGAGCGAGTGAGCCAGGGGAGATTTGCATAGGAAGAGGTTTGGTTTGGTGGAGGGCCGCTCATGTGCACATGAAGAGGGAGGGAGACGTACTTTAGGAGGATGCTGAGGGCGTCCCGAAGACATAGCACGACGTTGTACAGCAATACCTCATTCTCACTGGCCTCGCCCACCACATACATCATGACATCGCTCTCCGTCTTGAACACGACCACTTTGTTGTCGTACAATATCACGTCGGATGTCTGCTTCGCTGTCTTTTCTAGCAGGCCCTTCTCGAATGCTTTCTGGGAGGCCAGTGTTGGGTAGGCGGGTTGCGAGGGGCCGGAGCCGGGGAGGTGGTGTGGTTCGGAGTAGTATTTTGCGAAGAGGCGGGGGCTGTTGGAGGCGTTGGAGTCGGGGTAGAGGAGCAGGATGGCGAGCACGGAGGACATGCTGAGGGAGGGCGCCATGGTTGATTGCTAGCTGTGGGATTTCGGTGTAGTTGGGTCGTCGTGTGAGACGCTCGAGGCAGGTCGAAGCGCGTGCTTAGGTACCCGCGACGCCTTTCGATCTCTAGAACCTACTGGACTGGACCTGTAGTGTCGATCTGTTCAGTCGTGGTGGAGTTCAGAGCGATGTCGCGCCCAGTGAGGGCAGGTACGAAGGTCTTTCGCGGTTTCCCTGGGTTGGTGTAGTCGTTGAGACCGCTCCCTTGGAAGGAGAAGGCGTGCACTGGGCTCCAGGCGTTCCTCGGCGTAGGCACGGAAGGGGGAAGGCTGCGGGCGGAGGCAGGTGGGCTGAGGTGTCCTCCGAGCGGCAGGCTGACTCTTGCACAGACTGGGTTTCGCGCTCAGTCAAAGCAAGCTGAGTATGTCGATATCTAGAGTCTTGCCTTTTGTGTTCGAAATGCGGTGAATGGTATCTGGCACGAATCTATTTGTGAGTCTGCAAGGAGCGGAACTTCAAGAAATGGTGGCATGTTGGAGTACACGGCTTGGCACTCCGATGAGGCTCAATTCAGGAACACGCTGTTTCTATTGACACGTCGGGCGAACGTGCCGGCGACACGCATGGCGCTCTTCCCTTATCATAGCTAAGCAGTCCATGAGCACCATTGCATCAGGAGGAATAGACAGAAGTGCTTCAATCATTTGAATTTCCCAGCCAGGAGGAGCATTTCCGACTCCTTCTTCTGGCGATCATAAGGTATATCGTGCCATGCATGACTGCCTGATCCCCTCGAGGTCATTACTATACACGGCTCGTGTCCCGGGTCCAAATATGCCGATGGTGGTTCAAATCTCCCATCTAGCTCTTCCGATGATTTCATGCCATATGCAAATACAATCGCTTGCAGAAAAATCGTTACACCAAAGACCCCTGATCTATCGTCCGTAGTAGTTGTTATATCCCGTCGAGTGTTGCACCCTCTCGCCATACCCAAAGTCATTCATCGTCACACTGTGGCTCGTGCTGTACCCCGGATCAAACCTTGCGTTCGAAACATTCAAAGCATTTGGATTGTATGCTTGGTAGCCCGTCGTGGGATAGGGATTCGACGCCTCTTGGTAGCCACCCGTGTTCTGCCTCTGCACCGGCTTTGGTTGTGACTGGTATGTCGGTGGCTGCGTCGAATATGTGGGTGCCTGGCTCGGCGCTGTGCTGTAGAAACTCGATGCCCTCGTCAAAGCTCTCTGCATAAGCGGTCGTTGCTGCTCCTGTCTCGAATCCTGCTGCTGCAATCGTTGCGAAGCCGCGTCCATTCCCGCACCAAGCGGCAGATTGTGCACACTTGAATCCCGGCTGTGCATCGGGTCCATCTTCAGATCATTACTGTCGCGCATCTTATTGTATCTCCCAAGCGCACTCTGGTTCCGTCTCGCCCGCACATCCAATACGATCAGTGCAATCTGGCACAGCCATCCGATCACCACGAATGCGAACAGTGCCTTGTACTGATTACACACGGTGATGCCGTCCTCGTTACCCCAATTCGCAATGCTGCAGGTGTGTCCCAATGTGCCGTACATATTCCAGATGAGCAGGGCCATGCCGGCCGTCCAAAGGAGGAGGATGGGAACGTTAAAGAGGATGTTGAGGAGAGGCGAGAGGTGAACGCAGAAGTAGAGGATGGTCCCGATGGCGAGGGAGAGCAGCATAAGCACGTCCGCCATGAGCATCTAGACAGTGGTCAGTATCGCATGGAAGGGATTTGTGAGGAGATCACCTACCACTAGGAACGTCCATGGCAGTTTGAAACTATCCTGTGTGAGTTGTACGCAAAAGCTGGCGAGTATGCTGCCAACAATGAGAACGGAAAGCGCCGTGAAGGCTCGAATGGCGTGGAATGGTAAGGGCGGCTGATATGCCGATGGTCTCGTCTTGTTGGGCATGTTGATGGGTATGGCGGTATGGTAGAGGGAATGTCGTTGCCGCTGCGAATAACGCAGTGACCGGTGTCCGTAGCCTGACCGTGCAGAACACGTGGGACTGTGTGTGTCGCTTGTTGGAAAGTGCTCGTGCTCAACAAAGCCCGCTTTGAAGTCCGCAAGAATAATTAGGAAACCAGACAATACGATCAAAGGTTGAAAGAGTGACAGTGTGCTTGTGAGAAAGAAAGACCAAGCAAACAACGACAGTATGGAGGGAATGGATATGCGCCCTGGAAGAAGGCGAAGCCGGTGTCTTCTGAGACAGTTCAAGACTCAGGGACTCCATGCCGCGCGGAGAGGGGAGGAGCGGTGGGCGTCGACTCCGATTCTGATCACCTGACCGGGGCTGAGTTGGTAGATTTTGCGTGTCGCATTGCCAAATTTAGCATTGGGCAGAGCGACAGCATCCTTTGCGTTCATCTCGTTCATGGACGCCCCTCAGCAGTACACACTATATCGACAGCAAGATCATAACAAGACTGCAGGATGTATGTTATTTGATGATTGTTTGCTTTCTTGTATTTCCTGTTTGAGAGCTGCCTATACAAGGCCACAATGAAGCCTCCTGAGCTGTTGGTGCTAAGCCAATACTTTCCTCACACGTCTGGAGCAGACATCGAAGGCGTCTCATCGTAATGGACTCTCCGCAAGCCTGCTTCCAGCATCCGAGCTCCCTCCCATACCACTGCGATATGGCGACAGCGTACTCGCTGATATTCTCGGTCCCGTTCCTGGGGTACCTGGCGGCCCAGCCATGCCTGGCTCGGGCGTGTTCCTTCCGCTGGCAAAATTGCTACTTGGACCTCCTTCTGCAAACGGAAGTCTCTCACCACTTCGAAGCGGTGGCTTCCATCCAAATCTTTGGCCCTTCCGGAAGATCTCCTCGACCATATGCTCTGCCTCTCCTTTCTGCTCGTATTCCTGGTATTTCCGCCACAGCCTTAGTGCCATATGAGCATCCTCGATACTGTCATGTCCGTCGACATTCTGTGCTTCATCCATTGTTTCTTCTTGAATGTACTCGCCAAATACGGCCCACGCAAGGTAACGTAAACTCAGCCTGCGGTTCTTGCTAGGCGAGAAGTACAGGTATTGCGTGTCAATGGTCTGTGATTTTGGGATGTGGATATTGGCCTTGCGGAAGTCCGATGCCAGACCGTGGCCAACGAAGACGCAGCCGAGATTGAGGAGGATCCAGAGCTTCTTGTAGGCCACCTTCAGTGGCACTAGATTGTGCGTCGAACTGATCGGATCAAGGTCGCCCGGTCTGATGCCGGAGTATTGCGTTTTGTAATCGACGATCGTCTCGCTAATAGTGATGTAGTCGTCGATGAACGTGAGACCTTCTGCTGCGCCTTCGCCGCGGAGCACGCTGACCCTTGCAAGACCATTCTTCGCTGGTCGGATTGTTTCTCTTGTTCCATCTGCCTTGACGTCAATCTCAGCCTTCTCAAGCTCGACAAATTCGGTGTCTAGGGCGATGTGCATCCCAGCGTTTGGTGACTCCGCCGAACTCAGCATATGGCATTTCTGGGATGCTGGCACGTTGTTCATGCTGTACGGTAGATGTAGTAGTTGCGTATCGACTGCAGACCGCCAAGTGTCATCGATCTTACCGTGAGCAGTCTTGGCTTGATAGCAAATGATGGATGGCAACTTCCACGACTTGTTGAAATGCGTAGCCTCCCGAGGATCCACCCTGTCCACCAAGAAGTCATTGAATAGGTGCCAGTTGGGAAAGGTCTTCTGACCTTGATTGGTCTTCTTGTTCGATACCTCGGTGTTGATGACACTGACCAGATGCGGTTGCTGACGGTCATCAGTGTCGACATCCGCAACGTAGCCAACCAATTCGTACACAAGCAAATTTGGCGCTTTGTTTCGAACATGGAGGTTGAGGTCGGAACCCTCGTAGATGTTGACTTTGTCACCAAGCATGATTCCGATTTCTTGAGGCAAGAAGTGTGGCGTTTCCCATATCTGTCGAGTTGCCGGAGTCACGATCGCAGTATTGATCATGAGCACATAAGGCAGCTGCCGAATAGTCTTGCGAATAGCCAGCTGCTGATATCGATGACACCTGTTACACCAAGCACGATTCTTAGTCTCTCGCTCAATGCTTTGCTTGAGTATTTGCGAGAACCGGTGCATTCGAGGTCGGTGATCTCTCATATCCGTGACCGTGTAGCTCAGTTCGTGTAGATATGTGCTGGAGTGCTTGGTTGATTCGCTACGACAAACATTACAGCAGATGACCTCGAAGAAATTGGTCGAAAGAATCTCGTCGATGCCATCGCGACTCTGGTTCATCTTCGCATAGTCGTCGGCCATATGCTTGAGAAAGAACCTGTTGACGTGCTGAATGATGTTACCAAGCGGCACTCCTGCTGCAGTGGCCGACGTTTCGAACAAGTTAGAGCTTGCTGCCGCCCGAGACAATCCAAATGTTCGAAGCAAGTTCGTGGCTTGACAGTTCTGACCGGCTGCCTTCTCCATCATGTCGAAGAGGAATCCGAACTCGCACAGCAGACAACTCCCATCAACACAAGACGTGGCTGCATGCTGGAGAGCAACATTTCGTAGCAGCGGAACGAAGCGGTACAGTTGCAGTAACGAATTGATGTACGAATTGCTGATGTGTGTCTCCAAGCCCGAGTATGGTGTCTTGTTGAAGAAGGAGAAGTCAAAGTCGTCGACACCAAATCTACTATATTTGATTTCGACCTTCTTGTACTTGAGCATCCTTTCTTCTTCGGTCTGGGCTCTGCCATTCAAGGCCAAGCCGTTCAACGCGTCCGTCGTGCTTGCAGCTGCCAAGTCGCCCTCCTTCTCCGCAGCGCGCGCCTTCTCACTGAGGAACTTTGGTGCGGGCATCGATGCAGGCACTAATACAGATCTGGTGTTCTCGACTTGGTACCTTCGACCTTTTCGGAAGACATTCTGAGCAACATGACCCAACTCCATTGGTTGTAAGTAATGGGCGAGGTTTGGATCCGGTTGCACTGGTGGTGCGCCGACCTCGAAGACCATATGACTGGGCCACGCGCTGAAGAGACGTTCTGTATAGTACGGTATCCCAACCGCGTTGAGCGGACTGTCCTGCCAATCGACTTGTGGGATAGTCGTCTGATCAGGAGGTGATGCAAATTCGATTTCTTTGCTCATGTTATTGAAGCGAACTCCAGGTTGGGCGCCCCAAAGATATACAATACCGCTTGAATCATTGATGAGCAGTGCATCACCTGAAGTAGAAACCTCGATGCTTTGAATAAATTGGACGTTGGCTTGTCGGAGAGCGACATTGAGGGGGTCCATAAGGTCCAAAACCTGTATTTGCCCTGTTTGTGAAAGGACAATGCTTGTCGTTTGCAGTTTGGGATGCAAGCGAACATGCGCTGCACCAACGCTGAAAGGAATTGGTGACAGCTGAATGTTGCGTGCAAGATCGTACACCTTGGCCAGATAATCTACCATGGGCGGCCCAATATGCCGCGTCGATTGCCCGCATGTAACCAAGTAATCACCCTTGACGTCCATGTCGGTGATGATGTGCGAATGTGCTTTGAACGTCGTCCGCACCGAATAGTCGAGCGGATCGAGAATGTCAACCTCGCCATGCTCGGTGGCGGCACAGATTTGTCGTCCTTTACGAAGTAGCTTGTATGGGACTCGGGCAGTGTGCTGGGAGACAACAACTCCCTTCTCGATATCAACAACAAGAAAACCTGGCTGGGTACTTGCCACGAGAAGGTGACTCGTGCCATTGGTGAAACACATACATCGTAGAAATGTCGTCTGGGGCATTGGAATATGCCATAGCGCTGGACCTCTGCGACTTATCAGATGAATACTGTGGTTCGATATCGACAGAATGCCTCGTTCATGCGAAAGTAACTGATGAATTCGACCCTCGTTAATATGAGCACGAACGGAAGTATACTTCCGTAAGTCTGGTCCATGATGAGATGCGATACGGCCATCCTGAGTCGCAATCCAAACAAGTTCCTGAACGTCGTCGAAGATGGCCGCTGAAGCGGTGCTCGGTGGAATACTTGGTGGGACCGCGACTCGGGCGATCTCATTCCAATCCAAAGCCGCCATGGGCAAGGTCGTCAACACGGGTGCCAGCGCATCAGTTCGGACGGCGACAGCATGCTAGCAGCCCGGTCTGCTGCTTGCTACCAAGCGACGCGTCACCTAGCTCCCACCATCAAACAAGTGTTGTTTGAAGAGCAAATCAAAGAAGAGCAGCAGTGATGGAGATCGATGCACGTTTCCTTAGGCGAGGCAGTCGCCCCGAAGTTGCCTTGTTCTGGTACCCGGAGCTCAGGTTTTGCCGGCGCCGAGCCCGAGATGCAGGTACTGCCGTCTCGTCTTCCACGGCATGATTGCAAGTGACTACACAAAGCAAACATCAGCGCCGCAACACACAGTAGAGCTCACGACCACGATACGGAACCCGTTATAGAGCCGAAGTCGTCGAACGAGTCTGCTTAGGCTCAAGTCACGATTCCTGCGCCGCTCACCCCACCTTCGCTGCGGAGCCACGCCAGCGGATCTGCCTGCGCCAACTGGGGTCATATAAGGTGCGCGAGGCAGGACGATTCCTCCGATCTGAGGCATATCAGACCGTAGCAAGACCAGCCGATCTCAACATGGCGAGCTACGAAAGTGAGCATGCTATTAACTGCCTTCGCCGTCATGAACTAATGGCGAACAGCCGAACATGCGAGCGACGATACACAGCGCACAAGTGAGCGCCCACGGCGGCCGGACCTCTCCTCATTCTTCAGCATGATGTCTGAGATCACAACCGACTCACCACAAGAGCGCAATCGCCCCGGCGCTGTTCCCGTACCAGCCGATATGTCCACAGCCTACCGCACGCTGGCCGATGCCTTTCGAATCATGCAGAGAGACAACGAGAACGCCGACACCGATATGATGGAGCAAATGATTGAGAGTTTGATGAGCTCGGCTGAGCGGCCGCCCACAGAGGTCAAGGGAGTGGAAGAAGAGTGGATCGCCCAATTGGAAAGAGTGAGCGTCAAGAAGCTCAAGAAAGACGCCGACTGTCCCATATGCGGCAATGCATTCTCAGAAGATCCTCATCCGCTGCTTGTGCGGCTGCCATGTCACAAGACACATGTATTCGATCTGGAATGTGTCCGGCCGTGGCTGCTGCTGAATGGGACATGCCCAATGGATCGCATAGATTTCGCCAAGCAGATCAGAGAGCGGCGGCAAAAGCAATTGGAGGAGATCAAAAAGAATGCAGCGCCTGAGGATGAAGAGGAGGAGTGGGATGGTCTGTATGGTTGAGCCTGCTCGTGACCGTAAGCTAGCCCGAGATCACCTGACGAGGTCCGTGTCGACTACTGGAAGCGACCATCATGCGACCTGATCAATCGAGGGTATGAAGCGACCCTTATATAGTTCCACTATGCTGTGCATGTGACTGCAACCCGATGTGAGTTTGGCAATGGCATCACGGTGATGTTGACGTTGGCGTTGCATCCAGGACAAGGAACATCGAGAAGAGGGTGTGCAGACCCAGTTTCGACGTTGCCGCAAGGTGTGACGGCCGGAGAATAATCAGCATAGGGCACAACGGGGAGCAGGGCAGACCCGTTGAACGTTGTCCGAGTCGGATCGTACGTACCCGCAGAGGCTTCACAAGGGCAGGCGTAGACGAGTGTTGCGTCTATTTGCTGTAGACGTTCCGTCTTGAGGAGCGACTACTCGATATGGCCCAATCGTCGGGCCAGAATGCCTGCCAGAGGGAATAAAGCGCTGGCGAATCAGTATTCAGAAGTGCCATGTTTCCTATTTTCTCGGCAGCGCGATGTTACCAGTGGATGCATCTGGCGAACTCCGTCGAGCTGCACATGTCCTCTTGGAGCCGTCGCCACAATGTAGGCAAGTGGACTTGGTTATCGCACTTTGTTGCGTCCGCTCTGCTCCAAGCAATCCTTCTTGATTGACTCTTACGTCCTTGGCTATGACCTTCAATGGGATCAATGGTCATAACGAGTGCCACGTGTTGAAAAGATTCTCAGCTGAGATGTGGCGTTGAGGCTGAGCCACGATCTAGTCGGGCTTTCAATCCGAAGATCTTTAGCCAGAAGCATCATGCGATAGGCGCGCATTTAGCTGGAGTACAAGGCTGGCTGCGCCTAAATGGCTTCGAGTCTAGGCAGGAATAGGCGCGGCTGTTGCCAGTATAATTTTGCCACAGTCTCCAGTACAGTTGGAAGCCACGGCCCGAGGTGGACATTTTTTGGCTCAACACGAACAATTGGCCCTCATTCTCTTCGCATTTCGAATGGCCTCATCCAATCCTGAAGAGCACTGCAAGTATTGCGGCTTTTTGCTCACAATGATCCCTGTCCTGTGGCAGAAGCTTACGACTTCACCAGTCGCTTGTCGCTGTTCCACCCCTCGTCAGCTCCGCCGCCTTCGATCAAGGGCTGCCTCAGGATTCCCTTCTCATTGCATGCGTTTCTTGCCGCTATGACCCGCTTCGCGATCGTCTCTGGCGATGTTGAGTAGTCATCAACGCTATGGCAGATCCAGCATGATGGCCACAGGCCGCCCCATCTGGCTATGCCATTCACATGACGGTATCCCGAAGTCACGCCCATACTGGATCAAGCATGCTTCCACCTGAGCAGCGGATTGTACCAACCGACACTCTATCCCACGACAATGATGACTTCGTCTTCCCATATTCGGCTTACCTGAACTTGCCAGTCTCGTCTGACTTTGCTAACGTCCACGAGGCTTGAAAGCATTCGCTGACTAGCTAATGCTCGGTGGCCTGTCTCCAGGTCCTATACACGAGATCTCGCTCCATTTCTTCTGCGATCCACAGGAGCAGGAATATTCTCAAAAGCCTAGGATTTCCCTTCTATACCCAGTATACAAGTCTCATACTTATCCTGCGGCCCGTGGCGAGACCAGAAACGATTCACGTGCCCTTCGTACCCCCATATTCGGCTCTTCCGAGGTGCAGTGGCGATCTTTGGCAGGACCCGGCCGATCTTGGTCTTTGATGTACTTCGCCATACTCTAGTCACATGTCCCAGTTCTGCGTCACCAAAAGTACCGATTCTACGCTTTTTGGTCCGGCACTTGTCTTGCATCTGTACCACAGTCTCTAATATACGACTCCTCGACGTTACAACTTAACTCTATTTGGGTACAAACGTCTTTCGGCTTCCGTGCCGCACCACATCGCCACCTATACTCCTGTTCAGCGGAGAATATATCGACTGTTGTCTTAGTGATGCATTTGGACACAACGACATCGAGCTATCGTTTCTGCTCTTCGGGACTGCAGGTCTGCTGGACGGTCTCAGTCGAGAATGTCACACCGGTCGAGAGTAGGCCCTGGTCGTAACAATGATTCAGCTGCTCCGACTACCACCGTGCCACGAAGTGGAATACCGGTCCGCCCTCGTTTGGATACTCGAACGACATCAACTGAAACAAGACGACCAGGTCTGCCATCATCACCGAGAGATCACTTGAGATCACCGTCCATAAGGCAGCAAGGTTCCGCGAGGAGTTCTCCAAGCCTTCCATCGTCCAGAACACCCAAGATCCCCTCTCCCATGTTGCCGTCCTCGTCTATCTCGCAAAGGATGGACGACGCAACAACATTCGCCGCAGAGGATGTGCCGATCTTGTTTGAAGAGACGTCGCTCTACGAGCCCTTCTTACCAACTCCAAACTTCTCTCAATCTTTTCTGGGGCCCGACAATGATACTGTCTTTGGGATAGCCATGCCATCCACTAGTCAGTCCCATCATCAAGGCGAACTTCCCTCACGTTTGATTCCGGAGTTGCGAGCTTTGGCACAACACGTACCAAAGCAAACTAGGCCGCCGGGCCCGCCATCTGTCAGTACCGTTGGCAGTCCATCGACTCGATTTACCGAGTCTCCGGCGCCATGGAGCGCTGGCACAGCCACAACCACTCCTTTATCGTGGTCATCAGCGTCTCCAGCTCTGACACAGACTCATGGCCTTAGGACTCCTGATAGGAACAAGACTGTCCCACAGCCTACACCTCCACGATCGCGGCTACCGCGACTTCCGATGAAGCCAAAACCTGCGACGCCGTCAAGGGACGAGCAGCCAAGCAAGACAAAGCCAGCTGTTGCTGAGAAGCCACCGCGGCCGAGACGCAAGAAGTCCATCCTTGATGGAGCTCCACCTACGCCACCGACAAGAACTTCTTCCCGGGGCGGACGGAGTGCCAACAGTAGTATTGATGATACCCTCTCGAGGACAACCCCTGCGCGGCCGTCCACTGCACCATTGTCTGGACAAATGCAACGGGCTACTACACAGAATGATCCACAACTTCGACGTATGCCCAGCTCTGGACTATCTGGAGCGCATGACAACTTACAATCGTCAATAAGTGCGGCACCCGCTCGGCCTAGCAGAAGTGGAACACTGGATCTTGGCGAAAGTCGACCCGCCATCATAAACACTCATCGAGCAGGCTTTAGTCCGCAGCAGCGCCAGTTACTGGAATCAGGATTCGAAGAGGTCACGCGACGAACGCAGCCGACACTTTCCAGCGGAGCGGCCTCCGACTCGGAACAAAGCACTCCGGGTGATCGAGTACGACGATCTCCGAGTCGACTGGGCAAATTCTCTCGTCTGAAGCTGTTTGGAACCCGAGACCATGGACCGAGGCAAGGGAGCCCAATAAACTTCAACGCCGTGGTCCAGCCGCTGGTACAGGTCATGAGGGATATTCCAAACGTGGCAGACGAGATCGTAAGCAGTCTACAGAAAGCTCCGCAGTCGCCAGTGAGAGTGAGCGGTCACAGAGCAGCACCAGACGCATACCATTGTTCTCGCACTCCAGGAAAGGTAGCACGACGTCCAGAAGGACAAGTCAAGCCGATCTCGATGAGTTCGCTGTACCACGGTTGAGGCCCGTAGTCATGCGCGGAGGCTCGCAGACGAGTGTCGCCTCTGCACCACTCACGCAAGTCGCGTTCTCTCCGCCAGGTAGAGATGATGTCCCGCGCATGGCAACGACACCGCCTACAGATGTTTACCTACAGTCACTTGGTCAAGAGACTCGAATCCAACCAGCGACTATGCCTGCGACGAGCCACGACATGCGTTCTGGACAGAAGACGTTGGCGGCACGGCGGTCTCAACGCTTTCAGGGAGCATCACCGCCGCGTCTACCAACACCCATACGGATTGATCACTCGGCCTCACAGCCAGCTGTAACGAGCTATGACACGACTGTCTCCTCGAACATGTCATCTTCTGGACTGTTGTCTACAGCCTCAGGGCAGTACGATATCGACCCTACTTTGCTCAGAGACAAAAAGGACCGGCGAAAGTGGTGGAATCCCTTCCGTTCCCGACGATCATCGGCTACAAGTGCAAAGCCTGCAACAGTCCGTACTCCAGGACCGGAGATGGCTGTGAGTATTGCAGCCGGCCCAGCTCCACGGACCATTCCATACTACGCTATGCTTGAGTCTGAGAGCGAGCTCAACCAGGCGGGTGTGGGAAGACCGGCGCCAGTTGCCAGGATGCCAACGCCTCCAAGTCCGTCGCCAGAGGACGAGCCTGACCGAATGAACCTGCCGCGAGGTCGAGAATCGGTCCTTCTGCCAGCGGCTCCTTCGACGGACAATCTTCCACTGATTGAGGAGCTGCATCAGCGCTCCGCCTCACCACTCAAGCAGCCTCGCCTTGCCCAGGTAGGAAGAATACCGAAAGTCGCGACGAGAATTGAACGCCAGCACACCCCAAGTCGGCAATCTTTCTCTCAGCCTTTCTCCAAGCCAACGAGCCCAACTCCACAGCAGCACGCTTTTGTCGAAGAACCACCTCAACTCCAAATCCACACTGATGTCCTTCCCAGTCGGCCATTCCGAGAAGCGGACAATCTGAGTGCCAAGCCTTTCAGCGCTCCTGCACGAGCGCAAGCACAGCAAGTGTTCTCCGCCGAAACAGCTATGCTGCCTCTCGAACCTGTGGGATCGATCTCGCACACGGATAGATCAAGTTCGAGCGTTTCAGCAGGATTGATTAGCGTCATGGGTCCGGCGATCGTCCCAGCTTACACTGAACAAGACATCCAGCCACTCTCGCCAGAAACAAGGGTCTCAGTGATCGACACCGAAGATGTGTGGAATGAGTACGACGACATCATCGACCATGTCATGTCTCCTTCGCGCTCACGTGATGAAGTCCCTCCCGAGCTTGGAGGCAGGCAATTGCCGAGAACGATTGTTAGCACAGAGTATGGTTCGCCTGTGATGAAGGGTGTAGTGTCGGCACGACCTGTGTCTCGAGGCAAGATGCCGGTCCCGGAGCCCAGACAAGCCTTCCTAGACTTGCCATTGGCAGGCACCGACTCGCCACCTGTCATGCTCCCTTCGCCATCTCTACCATCGACTGCTGGGGATGAGATCCGCCTCCGCCGCTCGCGCATCATCTCCGCTCTGCATTCATCCTACAATCCTACCTCGCCCTTCTCCATGCGCGAATTCCTCAAGGACTACAGCGACAACCCAGCATTATCGGAACGCCTCAGTACTTCCACAGCAGACGCCCGCTCGACGCTCATTGCTGCCGCTCACTTCGACACTGATCCAGTTCGTGACGATCACCAGCACAACGCCGCCATGCTTGACGTCGTCTCACGAGCGCAGGATCCGATCAAGCAATCCGAGCTGCACTACGCCTCCCTCGAAGTCTCTCGCTGGCTCTCTTTTGGCCGTGTCCTCTTCTCACCTGCACAGGACGAGATCTTCACCCTACCCGACCGTGCCGTGCTCGTGATCGATGGACTAGGAAACGAAGACTGGGCCATTTACTGCGCCGTGACCTACGAATCCACCAAGGCCGTCGTCTACGACCTCAAAGAGACCAATCATTACAGGAAGCAACCATCTGCACAAGAACTCGAGCATCTTCCACCCAACCTCCGACGCGCCGAGATCGCCAGCTTCTCCGAACGCTTCCCATTCCATACGGCTTTCTTTTCAGTCATTGTGCTGCGCTTTCCGCCCGCAATGTCAGAAGCCACGATGAAGAACGTCATCACCGAATGCCGCCGCATTCTCGTGCCTGGCGGGCACATCGAGATCATGTTGCTTGATCTGGACTTTGTCAACATGGGCGTGCAGACGCGGCGAGCGGTGCGCGAGCTGAAGATGCGCATGACTACCAAGAACCCTGACGTAAATCTGAAACCTACGATCGACCACTTCCAGTCTGTTCTGGGAAGTCGTGGATTTATGGGGCTGAGTCGCTGTATCGTTGGCGTGCCGGTCGTTGGGAAGGCGCCAGGGAGTACAGATTCAAGCACGAGTAGCTCGAGGGGCAGCGGCGATCAATTCAACCCCAAAACTGGATCTCCAAGCAAAAAGAAGGGCCATGGGCGGAATTTCTCGTTGAGCGATCTGGTCACGGACAGCTCGGAGCGAGCAGATGCTCAGATCGGGCGGATGGTGAGCAAGACGGCGCGGAACTGGTGGCAGCATTGCTATGAAGCTTCTGTGCTGCCGCAAGGGGACGCGAGCAAGAGTATCTTCGCGGAGAAGCGGGTGCTGCAGGAGTGTAAGGCGAGGGCTTCGAGTTTCAAGTTGCTGATTGCGTATGCGCAGCGGCCGGTGTTTGAGAGTCAGGCGATTGGGAGTAGGAGGCGGACGGCGAGTGAACCAAGTCAGGGTATGGTATCGACGGCTGGGACGGAAAGGAGGAGGAGATCTTGAAGGCCTTCGGCTGGGCGCGACGGAGGGACCTGGCATTTCACTTCGACTATCGAGGCCTGGCACTCGACACATTTCATCCTTCAACATCAAGCTTACGAAAACGACGTCAATGAACGAGATGAATGCAACGACACATATCCCCTGACGCAGCGAGCGATTGATTTGCACCAAAAAAAGTTATCTTTCGGGATTCCCATACTGAAGCGAGACGAGATGGATGAGAGGTAATGACGTGCCCAGTGCTGGACCACGGGTGAACAGTTGTGTCTGTAAAAGTAGTCGATACAAACTACAGACATACACGGCGCGAGCCACATATAAGACGATATACATAACTAAATCTGATGTTCTGCTGGCAGACTGCACTGAAGCTTTCCGTGCAATTATGCAATTATATTTCCATCAAGACCTTACGCAAGCCGGATGACAAAACCCTGTGCATGACTCACCCCTTTGTGCTCCCTGAGATCTGTCTCTTGTCCGCAAATTTGGGTGATGAATCTTGAGCGGACTGCGTCTTCGAGCAGCCGTGTCGCAAGCGAGTCACTCCCGTCGTCGGCATAGGAAGCAACCGGATCAGGCATTCAGGCAAACACAAGAGGCGGCATGTTGAGTCACTGATCTGAGGCGCCCGGATGTAGCCGATGATTAGGCGCGTGCAGGCACCCCCTAGCGCCTAGGACGTTTCAAATGACCCCTGCTTCATCCCACTCCCTTGAGGCTACTGAGCCCACCTCATCCCCAGTTTTTGACCTACAGAAGATCATACCAAATTAGTTCTTAACACGTGCATTTAGCAGATATCGATGAGATCTCACCTTCTCTTGTCATGTCCGCACCTTTAGTACATCGCAATTCGAATTCCATCTCTTCCCAACACAGCGACGCCACTCCGACACCACAAGCAGAACAACAACCCGTCGCCCCTACACAAACAGCGCGGCCCACAATCGCCCAGTTCCTTAGCCGAGTCACATCTCCTGGCACAGTTCTCTACCAACACACGCAGATACAACCTCCCGGTATAACGTGGGCACAAGAGGTTTTGAAGAACCCACAAAACAACGCCATGGATAATCGACGGCATCCTAGTTCTTTCCAGCAGCTGGAGAAGGTATGTGGTCACGGCTCAGATGATGGAAGGCGGGGCTAACAATAAGACAACAGTTGGGAGAAGGCACATATGCTACCGTAAGAATCCCCCGACCCACGATGACCAATTATGGCTGACTCGCACAGGTCTACAAAGGCCGAAACCGACAGACCGGCGAACTCGTCGCCCTCAAAGAAATCCACCTCGACAGCGAAGAGGGCACCCCCTCAACCGCCATCCGAGAAATCAGCCTTATGAAGGAACTGAAGCACGAGAACATAGTCACCCTCCACGATGTCATCCACACAGAGAACAAGCTCATGCTCGTCTTCGAGTACATGGACAAGGATCTCAAGAAGTATATGGACTCCCGCGGCGAACGCGGCTCACTCGACCACGGCACAATCAAGCGCTTCATGCAGGACTTACTACGAGGCACCGCGTTCTGTCACGAGAATAGAGTCCTCCACCGCGATCTCAAGCCTCAAAATTTGCTCATTAGCACAAAGGGACAACTCAAGCTGGCGGATTTCGGTCTGGCCCGTGCGTTTGGCATTCCGGTCAATACCTTCTCCAACGAGGTCGTCACGCTGTGGTATCGGGCACCGGATGTGCTGTTGGGCTCGAGGACATACAACACCAGTATCGATATCTGGTCGGCTGGCTGCATCATGGCGGAGATGTACACTGGACGACCACTGTTCCCTGGGACGACAAATGAGGATCAATTGCAGAAGATCTTCCGGTTGATGGGAACGCCCTCAGAGCGGACATGGCCGGGGATTGGGCAGTTGCCGGAATATAAGGCTAATTTTCCTTCGTATGCTACACAATCGCTACATATCCTCCTGCCGCAAGTCGACCAGTTGGGCCTGGACCTGTTGGGAAAGTTGCTGCAATTACGGCCCGAGAACAGGATATCTGCCCAGGAAGCACTTCGACATCCGTGGTTCAACGACCTGAACAACTACGGAGCTGGAGGCCCGCCGAATATGGGGCATACTGGCATCATGGGCAATGCATATGGTCAGCAAATGGTTCAGCCACAACAACAATACTAGGAGTAGGATCCTCGGGTGGGTATCGCGATCTGCATCCGGTGTATGCTCTGCGGCCCGTTGCCAATGAGTATTGGGAATGTGTTCTGTTCGACGACACAGGGAGGATTGTGCGGAGGAGCTGAGTGTAGGCGAGGTCCGAAAGTTGTTGTGCATTGGGAGGAACATACCGCAACATGATGCGGAACTCCTGAAGAGACATCTAGGAAGGCGATCTGATTACCAGGGGCCGCCTCAGCCGTGTGTTTTCCCGATGAGCGACCGAACAAGACTGCAGAAATGGAGAACGTGGGTTCAAGTAGTCCTCACTGGAGAGCCTCAGCTTGCCAAGCTGCTGGAGACGATGAATGAGGTTGAACAGTGGTCCACGCTATGACTGCGGTCTGATGCGGTGGTTCATTCACTGTTTCAAAACACGCGGTCGGTGGTGTTTGCATGCCTGGGCCAGCGATTATGAAACATCTCGATTTGACGAGGCACGAGGTTATCAGTTGGACGAATGCCATGTACTACTACATAGCAGACAAATCGAAGGGGGAGTTCGAAAGAGGAAATTCATCTTTCCTAATCAAGGCTCTATCTGTTCATCCTGTGACCTCGAAGTGCGCTTTCGATCTCCCTCGCGGCGCTCTTGCCTGCCCCAATTTGAAATTATCTTGAGTTGAATGGTTGTGAGCAAGGGGCCGATGGGGGTGAGCGAGGCAAGTTTTGTATAGTGATGCATAAGGAACTTTCGCGACGCCGTATTTATACTGCAAGCGAAGGAAGCACCCTGCGCACCTTCTCTGTTGAGCAGTCGCCGAAAAAGCTGCGGAGGACTCCCAACACACCTCATCCCGACCTTGTATAGTGTTGCCGTTCCTTTCTTTATCAGCCTTCGTTGTTGCACCTTCTACCTCTGAGACATCGCCATCATGATGTCCAGAGCTTGCCTTCGCGGCTTCGGCCTCACCGCAGGAGCTTCACGGAGACAAGCGACCTATCTTACGGGCTCCGCGGCGAGCAGGAGGACGGTCACCACAGATGCCGCGAGCTCACACGCCGAGAAGGATGATGTACCAGATGTGAGGACTGCACAGACCGTGAGCTGAGCTTGACTGACCACGTGTACAGGACGATGAGGCACCCTTTCCCGTCAAGCTCTCCGACGAGTCCTTCGAGACATACGAGCTCGACCCTCCCCCGTACACACTCAACACTACCAAGAAGGAACTGAAACAGATGTACTATGACATGGTCGCTGTCCGGTCAGTGTTGCTCATGCTCCCGAACCTCCACAGCGCATACTGACCTGTCGCAGACGAATGGAAATGGCCGCCGATCGTCTCTACAAAGAAAAGAAGATCCGCGGCTTCTGCCACTTGTCAACCGGTCAAGAAGCCGTCGCCGTCGGTATCGAGCACGCCATCACTAAAGAAGACGCCATCATCACTGCCTACCGCTGCCACGGTTTCGCCCTCATGCGCGGCGGCACCGTCAAGTCTATCATCGGCGAGCTCCTTGGTCGACGGGAAGGTATCGCGTACGGTAAGGGTGGGTCTATGCACATGTTCGCCAAGGGCTTCTACGGTGGCAACGGTATTGTGGGCGCGCAGGTGCCTGTTGGTGCAGGTATTGCGTTCGCACATCAATATACTGGCTCCAAGACTACGACACTGGCGTTATACGGTGATGGTGCGTCTAATCAGGGCCAAGTCTTCGAGGCATTCAACATGGCTAAGCTCTGGAATCTGCCTATCCTCTTCGGCTGCGAGAACAACAAATACGGCATGGGCACATCAGCGGCGCGCTCCTCCGCGTTGACCGAATACTACAAGCGTGGACAGTACATACCCGGTCTGAAGATTAACGCCATGGACGTCCTGGCTGTGAAAGCTGCGGTCCAATACGGTCGCGAATACACAGTCGAGGAGAAGGGTCCCCTGGTGCTCGAATACGTCACATACCGATACGGTGGTCACTCCATGTCCGACCCCGGCACAACCTACCGCACACGTGAGGAGATTCAGCGGATGCGCTCAACGAATGACCCCATCGCTGGCCTCAAAATGAAGATTCTGGACTGGGGTGTCTGCAGTGAAGACGAGCTGAAGGGTCTGGACAAGAAGGCGCGTGAGGCGGTGGACAAGGAGGTTGCGGAGGCCGAGGCTATGGATGTGCCGGAGACGACGCCGCAGGTGTTGTTCGAGGACATTTATGTTAGGGGGTCGGAGCCGCCTTATCTCAGGGGACGGACGCCGGATGAGACCTTTTACTGTGAGTTGCCCCTCACAAGCGCGCTTGTGACAAGTGTATGTGCTAACGTGTGGTGCTACAGATGACCAAGCCGACATCAGCAAGACCCGATCGCCGCCGGCGGGACACCCGGAGGCCAGCATGCGTAGCGCGAGTGCTTGAACAGATTTCGATTGCTTGAGTGTAATTTACAATACCAGGGTCGGCGGTGCTTGCGGAAGATCGATCTCATGCCCGAGCACCACCAGTCGCTCTCACAAGCGTTGGTGAAGGATATGCAGAACGTTGGCGAGGTCGTTGGCGATCAGATTATCAATGGGCGAGGCTATCTTGGTCTGGGAATGAGCATTACTTAGCGACAGTGCAAGCGTGTTTATATTGTTCCCAAGCCTGCTTCCTTCACCTCCCTTCTTCACAAGGTTGTCGACAACGGAGCTACAGCATTTGAGCGGTCGAAAACTGCCAGCCAGGGCGACTTCACCTGTTTTCGAAGCTTGCATCAGAAACCTGAACAATGCGATGCTGACTGTCATTATCTGAGCTTGGGGACGGTGGGTGGGGGAGGTGGTGGGGAGGGGGTGCTCGCTTCGCCTACTTATCTGCTGCATCTGCTGCATCCATTGCATTTGCATCTGCATCATCTGTGTCAT